AAACAAACAAACAAACAAACAAAAGACACTGAACAAAGTGGACAGAAACTATGGGGTAGGTGTGGGGTCAGGAAAAACAGCATTTCAGTTGTTTGTACAACACTCTCACAGACTCAGACACCATGCCAAAAAAATCCCAGGTGGCAAGGACATTAAGGTTCCACATTCAGGAACATAGCAAGTTCACAAAACAATCTACTAGGGTTCCACATTCAGGAACGTAGTCACAAAACAATCTGACACTAGGGTTCCACGTTCAGGAACGTAGCACATTTCTAGTCACAAAACAATCTGAGTTCTCACTTGGCCCTCCAGTGAGAGGAGACAAGCAACAGCTTCTTGGCAAATAAGGAAATCAAGTGCAAATCAATACAAGGAGTTACAAGGAAAGCCTCCTTTGATCAAAGATACCTTAGCTGCTCAGGGATAAGATGACCACTCTCTCTGCACCCAAACAGCAGCCCAGGCTACACATGGCTGGGCATGCCAGGCTCTACCAAATCTCTGAGGAGTCTAGTCTGCACAACAGCTGCTGAGCATGAAAGGCCCAAGCCAAGCTCATGAGTAAAGGAAGCACACATTCCAGGCCTGGGGGAGCAAGCCCAGTGGTCTTAGGCAGCAGGTGGATTTTTTCAGATAGTGGGGGTTACCTAAATCTGCCCACAGCGAACACCAGTGCCTACTTCCAAAAGCAGCCAATTTGGGCCTCCCAGCAGGTGTAAAAATAAGGTCTTAGGAAGTATCAGTTCTCAGCTGTGGCCATTGCACATCCATACTACTGTCACGAGCCAGTCCTTCAACCACTACAACTTTTCACAAATCCCTGAACCTGCCAGTAAACTAGTGCCTTCTCACATGCTATTTCTTCTTCATAGTAGGGAGCTTCTACATAGGTGCCTTGGATGCTGTTCATATTACACCCAAGCCCTGTTCACAATACCCAGCCTAGGCTCCTTTCTCAGACCTGTACTCTGCACAGTCTCGACCCTCCCCATTTCCACCACAGTATCGACACACTCCTCTCTTTTGATGACATTATATTACACCCAGTTAGTTCTCTGTGTCCTGGGAGCTCCTTGAGGGCAAAAGCAGTTCTGAGGCATCAGCAGGAGCCTAAGTAAAATATGAATGAATGGGAACAAATCAGAGCACGCAGATTATTTGGAGCCTAATCCTGTCAGAGATGTGTGATCTGTGATTTGTCTTTCTTCCAGAACAAGGAATTGGGGCTGAACACTTTCCTCCTGGAAATCAGTTCAGAACAGCAGGTCTGTTGTCTGCATTCCAAAAGGAAAAACAAGTTATAGAGGGTGATGCGTGGCTCTTCGGCACAGTGTTTAAGGAATTCGGTATACAGAACCGAGACCAGGTCTCTGAACCATGACTAAAGTGTAGGGGCGTTGCGCGAGTCCCAGGAATACTAGAGACCATGAGGCCAGGAACCTAGAGGGGCCTGGCAGATTCTGAAAAGGAGCCTCACCTTCAACAGAAACGTTGAAGGACAAGGCAGAACGGCTCGGCGCTGGGATGGGGAGGGCTCTCACCCAGGGGTCTGCGCCCTTCAGGAGTACACTCAGGTATCTAGGGCTCCGACCCCCATCCGCCCTCATCAACTGGGAGGATTCAGAGCTGGTCCTAAGGGACCTGCAGGCCTTGAGAGCGGTTCAGACCTGCGCCACCCTTCTGCCTGCTCATCGAGGGCCCACCCCACTAGCCCCGCTCACCCCCCGCAGGCCGGTCCAGCTTGAGGATGTCCCGCAGGTGCTGCGTGGCGTCCTCGATGTCGATGCTCGCGCAGGAGGCCATGGGCCCAGCCGCGGGCGCCTCGCCCGCACTGCGTTCGTTCCGCTGCTGCCGCGCTCCGCCCAGCCTCGCCTGGCCGTAACGGGTCGAGACAGCGGGATGCCGGTCACTACACTCAGTCCACCCGCAGTCAGCAAACTGCCACCAGCGCCGCGTCCCTGAGCCCCACCAACCCCACCAACCGCCTCCACTTCCGGCCTCCAAGAGCCTTAGCTCCCGGAACCTACAAAGGCCGGAGAAGAAAGGTTCCGGGCTAAGGGCGGACGCCTAAAACCCGGCCGGAGCCCGTCCTCCTTGGCGGCCCCGCCCCTGTGCCAACCCGGTCAGGAAGTTCCACAGAGACAGAGCAAATGTTCACGCACTGGACTGCCCAAAGCCCTACTCATTTCAGGAGAAACTACATGATCCATACCCACTCCCAAAGGATGGCCTCTGGTGGCCCTAGGACAGGATCAACTCAGCCGCCCAGGCTAGGGTCCCCCAGATCCTCAGAAGTAAGCCAATTGGCAGGACCCTCAGTTTTCCATTTGGGAAACAGGTCTAAGTAACCCAAGGTCCGAAGTAACCCAGCCATAAAACCCAGGAATCGCAAGAGCAGGGGTGAATTACCACCAAAAGCGCACTGTTCCCTGCTTTTCCCCAGCATCCCCCTTTCTGTCCCATCTGACACTCTCAGGTAGGAAAAAACAAACCAGTTTTACAAACTCCTCTTTATTGCAGACAATTCAGGCACAGGTACATGGAAGAAGCTGTATTGCGGATTTTATACAGGGTGGTTTAAGAGGCAGCAGGTTAGTGTCTACCTCTCCCCCACCCCCACTTCCCCAAATACACACCAGCCTAGAGATCAGTCCCACTGCAATCTCCTGAGCATGCTGTCCTCTCAAACAGCAAACCACCTAGAAGTGTGCCCAGTGTACCCAGGCAACTGTGGGGTCTGAGGAAGTCCTTAGCCTCTACCCATAGAGGGACATGAGGAGGATATCCTTTTATAGGTCAGGCTGTGGCAGCCTCACTAATCCTAAAACCCCTAACAGGGCATTGACCAAATCCTGGGTTTAGTTCTAGCCTGCAGTTGCTACCTTGCTACTGATTTTATACCATCCACAGGTCTCAAAGCTGAGGAGCTAGATTTGTACTGCACAAGGCCTCTGTCCCCAAAACTGAGAAGCAAGACTTGCCCTGGATTTGAAGACAGTGTGATGTACTGGGAACAGGGCACAGATATACCAATAGATGGCAGCTCACACTGCTATGTGTACTTAAAACTGCAAAACAATCCACCACTTAGCAACAGGGCAGAGGGTATACCTGCTTCCAAGCAGGAAATAAGAGGGAGGAGACATGGAAATGTCCTGCAGAGGTCTGAGGGGTAAGAACTCCTACAGGATGAATCTCTCAGACTGCCTTCTTCCATAGCTCTGAATCTAAAAGCAAACCGTGTCTGGCTCTGTGGGCAACAGACTTGGCACCTGCCTTTAGGCAATGCTATTTGAAGCAATGATACAGGATCCAAGCTGCCCTCTGCTTGCTATGGGGTATGTGGGGCACCATAGATGTGATCCTGACCCCTCTGGGGATAGAGTAGACTACTTCCTTAGTACGCTGAGACCTCAGCCCACAGGGCCTGAACTTAACAGGCCATTTTTGCCAAGGCCTCGCTAGCTTCAATAGGATTCCGGGTCTTCTCTCCTGCTACTATAGCCCTGAACCTATACAGGGCAGAGGTCATGAAGGTATCAGAACTGACTACAGAGGCTTCAATACAAAAGAAGGTTCAGGCCAGACCTGAGCTCTTCCTGTCTACTTTCCCAAGACCAGGTGGGTTGTGGAGGGTACTCTGCCCTCCAGGGCTTCTGAGAGAAGCTAGCTGGGAATGTTGCTTCAGCAGTTTTCTCCTTGCAACAGGTATTACAAAGGGGGCTGAAGTGGGAGGGTAAGACATGACAAACAATGGGTCAAGATAGTTACTAATGCCCAGCCAACTAGTAAACTAATTAAAACAATTTAAACTGTTAAGAAAATTTTGTGGTTTTATTGTATCATGAGGCATTGAAACATCTGAACAAATCAATATCTGGGCGGTGAGGCAGCTGCTTTCTCCTTCACTTCTTTGGGTTACTAGAGCAACTTGTCAGTAGATTAAAAAAAAAAAAAAGGACAACCTTTTGCATTACTTAAGTCTTTCCAAGGCATGCGCTGGTAACAACACAAACTTCTCCTGTCAGATGCAACTAGTCTAGCGTCCAAACATCATGCACAACACCTCGGTGGCAGCAGCGCACTGCACTCACTTCCACCGCAGCCTTGCTCATTTGTGTATGATATTTGGAGCATCTGCAGGAGTGTGAATAGTACTGGGAAGAGGAGGGAGGAGGAAACAGCATGAGTGCCTGGCTAGGAGGAGGTCAGCCGAAGTTGTGCAGGGCAAGCCTGAACATGTCATTGGTGCAAACCCAAGCATCATTGATGTTCTTTAATAGGAACATCTGGTGGAAACCCATGATGGGATCTTCATCGGCCTGTGAGGAGAAAGAAAATGACTCAGTAAGGGGGTCCACGGAACAGGAAAGGAGTCCAGTGGTAGGGGAACAAGGCAAAGAATGTGGATTTAGATCAGACCCTACTGTTCTGGACTCAAATTCCATTATAGCTAAAGAATACTGGTGAATGTGAACTGATATAACGTATGAAACAATGTACTGGGCACACATGTGGCTCACAGTGCCACAGGCACTTAAAGCTGCAGAAAAATCCACCAGACCTGCCTCCAAGCACATGTCTCTGGGCACAAGTAATCAAAATTTTGAAAAGAATCCCATAGTATTTACCAAGTAAAAGTATCGAAAAACTGTAAACAATCATAGTGTTTGGTAGTGCCTGTCAGTCAAAGAAGGAGTAACTACTGCTAATACAGACTGTGGCCAAGTATGTGAGAAATGCTCAAACCAAGTTCACAATGTGATTGCAGCGCTACAGGGGAAAAAAACATAGCATCACCATTGGTGATCTATTTCCTGTCATGTAATACATAACATTTGCGATGAAAAAAGAAAGGCAAGAACCTCTAGCCAAACTGCAGAAAACCAGGACGAGGCCTAATTGAAATAGGGGCCCAGCTAACCAGCACTACCTCTAACATCATCTATTTTTTGGGAATTATCACCCGCAAGGGGGCAAATCACTAATCTGAGAACTTAAGTTGGACAGAAACACCAGGAAGAACTTGAAGCCAGGTGGAAGGGGACAGGGCTTAGGGTACTGAGCTCCCTGGAGAGACCTCTTCAGTTCTGTGCCTATTTAGGTACAGGATCCAGGTACAGCATCTTGAACAATCAGGAGAAACTGGAAAGTCTAGCCCCATAGACAGGTGCCTCTGTGTCCACTGCAGAATACTGGTGTGCCCTCCTTTAACACCCACATTGGATTCAGGAAGCCCTGCCCCAGCTAGCCTAGGGAAGAAAGACTGAGCCTCTTATTGTGAGTCCTGCCATAACATAAACCCAGAAGGGCAAGGACCCTGGCCAAAGGGCAGCCAATTTGTCCTGCTTTGGAAAGAAAGGGTTTTTTAGAGACAGAGACACTGATTTTAGTGTGCTGGAGGATAACAAGTTCTTTGGAGAGCTCTTGAGGGTTTGAGGGGTCACAGGAAGGCTTGAGGACAACAGGTCTTTCAAGAAAAGGAAAATGCCAAGAAAAACAGGAATTTTAGGAATTAGCTTTGCTCAGAGGTGAGGAGCCAGCAGCTAGCTTAGGGAATGGGAGCATGGCTTCCAGTAAGGGACCCAGCTTGCCCATCTACTATACCTCTGGATAGCCCAAGAGCCCAGAGGTGCCCTATACTTCTTGTTCCTTTTCCAAAAAGGATCAAGACTAGTGTGCGCCATTAGAACTTTCTGCAATAACAGAAATATTCTATATCTGAGCTGTCTAATAGGTAGCCACACACAAAAGACTATGAACACTCTAAATATGGTTAATACAAATGAGGAACAAATTTCAATTTTATTTAATTAATGCAATTTAAAAATTACTACACATGGGGCTAATGGCTATCTATGGTACTGAACTATGCTGTTCTAGACAGTCACTTTGTCTGGGTGTTCCTTGATAAGGGACATCTACGGGGAAGGAGGGACACAGGGATCTCCTCTGCCTGCCCACTCCTCCCTAGTACTGTGGCAACAGTATTACCTTAAGCTGGCCCACAACCATGCTGATGATGCAACTATCTGGTGTAGGCTGATGGTCCTGTGCAGTGATGCTGTGCTGGATTTTCTGGAACGGAAGGCTCTGCAAGAGAAAGAGGGGGTTAACTAAAGCCAGAAGGGGTGGGGGAGATACCTGCACCCCAACTCTGGCCCTTACTTACAGACAACTTCTCCACAATGGCAGCTTTTCCCTGGAATTGCTGTCCTTCCCACGTAAGGCATGACGCATCAATCTGAAAAACACACAGAACCTGAGGGTTGGGGCCTCAGAACACAAGAATCTTCTCTAAGGTCCTGAAAGACTCTGAAAAGGGGCTGGACCTGGTGGTTCACACCTGTGATTCCAGAATTTTAGGAGGTTGAGGTGGGAGGATCACTTGAACCCAGGAGTTCAAGACTGGCCAGGCAATACAACAAAACCCCATCTCTACATAAAGTAAAAATTAGCCAGGCATGGTGGTACCTGCCTGTAGTTCCTGCCATTTGGGAGGCTGAGGTAGGAAGATCACTTGAACCCAGGAGCTAGAGGCTATAGTGAGCTATAACTGTGTCACTTGTACTCCAGCCTAGGCAATAGAGGCCTTGTCTCAAACAAACAAAAACGCTGGGCATAGTGGCTCATGCCTGTAATCCTAGCATTCTCTCTGGGAGGTCAAGGTGGGAGGACAGCTTGAGCTGAAGAGTTTGAGTCTAGCCTGAGCAAGAGTGAGACCCTGTCTCTATAAAAAAAATAGAAAAATTAGCTGGGTGTCATGGTTAATGCCCATAGTCCCAGCTACTTGCAAGGCTAAGGCAGAAGGATCGCTTAATTAAGCCCAGAAATTTGAGGCTGCTGTGAGTTGCGATGCTGCTGCTGCATTCTACCTGGGCAACAAAGCAAGACTAAATAGTCTCTTGCTTGGGGAAATAGGTCCACACTTCAGTTTTTCAGACTATAAAAAGGAGACTGACTATAGCTCCCAAAGTTTAACAACTTCTTTAATTATGCCTCATAATCACATGGTCACATACTCTGAAAGATGATTTAATAAAATATGCTTTTTAAGTTCATTTCCCATTCATATTCGAGAGGTCATATGGAACCAGGCGTGATGGCTCATACCTATAATCCTAGCATTCTGGGAGACCAAGGCAGGTGGATTTCTTGAGCTTAGGAGTTCAAGACCAGCCTGAGTAAGAGTGAGATCCCCATCTCTACCAAAAGTGAGTAACTGAGGCAAGAAGATTGCTTGAGGCCAAGAGTTTGACGTTACTGTGAGCTATGATGCCATAGCACTCTACCAAGGGTGACAAAGTGAGATGCTATCTCAAAAAAAAAAAAAAAAGTCATATGGCTCTGATATGGGCAGGCCCTAAGACAGCCATATGTGGTCAAGGAGCAGCAAAATGCCATCCTACTGGGTGATCAGTCAACATCAGTCCCAGAAAATTCATCAGAAATAACGTGGAAACATTCCATTTGTTAATCACCATATCCAGGACCCAGGCAGAGTTCCACCATGGCCCTTTGAGCTAGTCTTCTGGGCACCTATTGAGTTAGTGAGAGAAGGAAGGTGACAAGGCCTCTTATGGTCTAGTCTGGGGTCACCCTACCACCAAGTGTCAAAAGCCCACATGCAACCCTAGCTTAGTACCCCATTCCCAATTCTCTTCAGAGGCAGAAATCAAAAGGGCCTCACACTTATCTGCTGTGACATTAGATAAGTTACTTTGATTTCTGGGTCTATTTCCTAATCTTCAAAGGGTTAATGTGTTGAAGATTATGAAACAATAAATATTAAGTGCTCTTTTAGGACCCTGCTATCTCTCTCCTCTGGATCAGACCTGCCTTAATTAAGAGACAGTGAAGCAGAAATGATAAGACCCTAGAGTCAGATCAGTTCGAATTTTGTAAAATTCTCTACTATGATAATGACAATCAAATAATATCTGTACTAGATTTGGTCTTCCACTGGTAAGATTCTCCTCTTTTTTTTTCTTTTAGAGACAGTCTTACTTTATTGCCCTCAGTAGAGTGATGTGCCATCACAGCTTACAGTAGCCTCCAGCTCTTAGGCTTAGGCCATTCTCTTGTCTCAGCATCCTGAGTAGCTGGGACTATAGGCGCCCACCACACGCCCGGTTATTTTTTGTTGCAGTTTGGCTGGGGCCGGGTTTGAACCCACCACCCTCGGTATATGGGGCTGGCTTCCTACCTACTGAGCCACAGGCCCCACCCAGATTCCTTTCTTTTTTTCAAAATTTCAGAATAGACTAACTTTTTGGAAGCAGACACAAAAGACCACTCAAGCTAGGCTCTGTAACTGTGCTCTTAAAACTCCTGCCCCACCCTGCCTGATCACTCACATTTCTGTGACCACATCTTGGGTAGGTCAAGTACAAGTAATTCTTGGTGTATATGAACATCATTAAAATAACAGCAAATAATGGCTGCACAGAAGCATTTCTTAAAGGTCATACCATTTGTTTCCCTGAAGCATTCAAAAGCTTTTTGTCCCAAAATGAAGCTGGAGCTGGGGCCTCCAGAACAGCTCAGCTTTGCGCTGAAAATATTCATGGCTGCTGCCTCCAGAGGACACCATGAGCTCTAGCCTCTGCCTGTTGCTGTATAATCTGGAACAGAGGCCCTCCTAGGACCACATGCCCTGACGAGATGCTGATCACGTGCAATGGCAAGCCCAGAACACCAGAATTTCCACACATAATGGAAGATGACAGACGTAAAAGTATGGACCAGACAGTTAGGCTGGATTTCAGGTCCTCTGTCCCATGGACAAAAAGTCAGATAGAGAGGTATAACCAGTCCAACAAGGGCTTCCAGAACTTGTGAACTGGCCCAACATACAAATCTACCCCCGGGGTCCTATTCTGGTCCTAGAGCTGAAGACTTACGTAAATTGCGCCTAGTTGGGTTCTATCATTATCAAATAACTGGTAATAATGTTGAATAAAGCTGGATCCAATCTGCTCCCAAATTGGCTTGTCTCCCATTCTGGAGTGTCACCCAGCCTCGTTGAGACCTGTAAGACCAGCAAGAGAGAGAGAGGGAAGCATTGGTACTACAAGAGGAGAGGTGACCAGTCACTGACCCCACAGCCACCCCTCCCTGGCTTTCTGGCAGGGAGTCCTCTGCTGAGGTCTATTCTCTCAGGGCCCATGGGAAGGCCCTTGAAGAACTGGTACAAGATCCCTCCCAAGCCAGACCAGTGCCAGGAGCCCAGAGGTGGATGAGACTCAGCCTTTCTTTGTAGGAATTCCTGGCTGTTGAGACAGAGGGGTGCCAGGGGCACCACAGGAGCAACACCGGAGGGGTGCTAAGAACAAAGGAAGGTCAGAACAGGCCCTTTAATGTCCAATAAGGGGCGAGGCCTTGAAGAAAGAGCTAAGTACTGCCCCATATCTTCTCATCTAATCCTCTCAACAACTGGCAAGGCTGTAGTTACTGTTATTCTTTCCACATTATAGCCCAGGAGCTACTGACGTCTATGTGTGGCATGCATTCTGTTGCAGCCCCAGAGTCCCCAGTGTTGTCTCAGGGGTTTGCTGGCAAGACCCAGTGAGAATAGAAGGAGATGGCCCCTCAAGGCCCCATTTCTGACAAAAACAGCAGGTGACACTCTCAGTCTCAAGGGGGCAGTTTCCATTTGAGACCAGGTGATACCTGATCTGGCCTTTCCTGGGGTATTTCTTCTTTCTTTCTTTCTTTTTTTTTTTTTTTAATTGTTGGGGATTCATTGAGGGTACAAGAAACCAGGTTACTTTTTTTTTTGAGACAGAATCTCACTTTGTCACCCTGGGTAGAGTGCCACAGCAACCTCAAACTCTTGGGCTTAGGCTCAGCGCCTATAGCTCAACCGGCTAAGGCGCCAGCCA